AACTTACTTGAAGAATAGAAAAAGTTAAATTTCTACACATGGATATGGAAGGATCAGTCCTATGGAAAAACTACTGCAAGAGGTGCATTTACTTTATTAAGATCAATGAATAATGAACTTACTCAGAGTTGGTAAGGGTGGCATTATCAGTGGAAACTTCCCATAATTCTTAGAATTTGATTTTCTGTTGAAAACTTCTACATAAATGACTCTATACTGCTGATAGACTTTTAAAATTCCATTTGCATATTCAGCCTACATGTCCTTTCTGTCAAAATGTTTCTGAATTCATTGAACATATTTTTTTAATGTTCCTTTTCTGCTAAATTTTGGGATTGGTGGCAAGATAACTTGCAGTTTACCTTTGAATATAAACATGCATGGGTTCAGGGTGACTTGTTGAAGGATGTGTCTAATATTGGAATGGAAAAATTCATTCAGGCAGCCATTGAAAACTGACTCTCATTAATTTGGAAAATACATAATAATGCCCTGTATAATAGTTTAAAACCTTCCACTAGGTGAGCTGGGGCTTAGGCTCTGGCTCACACTAGCTACTATCTCAGAACAACAATGCCTGAAGAAATGATGCTAAGCAATACTCTTTGGCTTAAATGGCGAAAACCACGTGTAAATTTAATACTGATGTATCTACTTCTTTTCAGGATGGAGGGGCTGGATTCATTTTATGATATCATAGAGGCAGTTGCAGTGCAGCAGGACTTATGTATATTCATAACAAATCAACTTTGCAATGTGAAACAATAGCTGTGAAGTTGGGGCTCCAGTTCACCATCAACAAAGGTCTCACTAAGCTTCAGACTGAAATGGACTCAATTACATTAGCAAATTTGCTGACCCTTATAAGCATCCATCATGGCTTGTAAATCATATCATTACATCATTTCAGATATTAAACACCTTTTTTTATGACTCAATTCCTCTAATATCTTGCATTCTTTTAGAGAATGTAATCAGACAGCAAATTGGGCTGCTAGGACAGCTAGAACTGATAAAATTGAGGATTTTTCCCCCACCCCCAAGATTTATATGTTACACTGTAAAATGACTTAAACAAGTCCTTTGGTAGAGCTGTGAAATCTTAATAGATTTACATTTTGGAAGAAAAAAAATTTCTGCACTAGGCAAACATGACTGATTGACTTCATTAAAGTCTCAAGATGACTCACTTAAATCCAAATAGACCCAGGTTGCATCAAAATCATGCAATGTTACTGTTAATGACTATGTTTATTGGTGGATATTAGTATTGATGTGATGTATAGTACTTTAGGAACCATCTAGTATTGTATACAAATTAGTCCATTAGTAGCACCTCTGTCAGGAGATAGCAGCATCTCTTTTGAGCAAACATCAAATTTGGAATGTTTGAACAGCATGTATAACTAGTAGTTGGCAGGATGTTGATGATGTACAATGTAGAAATGATATGAACTTGATGATTTACGGTAAAAGTCAAGTGACTGCATACAATCGGTTTCCTGAAACTTTCTTCAACATTGAATTTTACTTTTTTGCAATCTTTTTTACGCCTTCAATTTGATTTTCCGCAGCATTTCAATGATCTGAAAAATTGTACTATGATGATCAGATCAACAGTGTGCTCTGTGCTGGGGGAATGTTTGCTGATCATTCCCAGATGTGAGGTGTTACCTCCGCAGATTATTCTGTGACAAAGTGTGATGGTTATTGCTTCACCTTACGCGCTGGTAACAACATCTAACTCTATTAGGTTTTGTGTCCTGTTCTCATTTGAACTGAAGGGTATCATACTTTTTGTTCAATTTCTCACTTTATCATAAGTTTCTTATATTTATATGCTTTGTTCAAAGATAAAGCTGTTCTAGAATTCATCAAGTTCCACATCAAAAGATTATGTTGACATGTGCTTCTCTAGAAGGTTTTCACCACGACGCTTTCCATGGACTTATTCCCCTGCATCTTTTCTTTGATCTCTGTCATGTGTCATCTACTTTAACCTTGTCCTGCTAACAGTTAGTAGGCTTGTATCAATATCCTAATCCTCCATCCATCAAAAACTGTCTTCTGTGCATTGTGCTCATATTTTTCGACCTAAACATTTGAAGATTTAGGAGATGAACTGTTTGCTTGCTCTCACTGTGAGAACTTAATTATTTGGCTGAGATAATTGTACAATGCTTAGATGAATATTTTTCAACACTCGTGTCTTTCAGCAAAACACTATAAAGCATAGAATACAGTAGTAAAGCACTAATTCTCAGACTTGACCAAACACTGTAGAGCTTCACGGCCACAGTTTATGACGTGGAAAAATCACTGGAAAATAACACCAGACCTCCTCTCATAATACTTGTAGTGTCTGCTCGTGCTTTATTCGTCATAATCTAATGGTTTTCATTGGTCTAATTCTCTAACTTCCATTTCTGCTCCCGGCTTCCAGGTCCTCTTTGAGGCTCCCATTTGGCTTCGCCAGTCCCATCTCTATCTTCATCTTCCGTTCTTTGATCTGCTGTTTAGTCGATGCATGGTACATCATGTGCAGTACCAGCTGGGCCACTGCAAATGCCACTCCCAGGCCATTTGGAATCTGGAGATTAAGCAGCAGTTCTTAGGCACAAAGAATATTTGATGTTTTACATCAAAACATTGCCTACAGATGGTATGGAGATGATATGCTGGTGTAGCTTTGGTAGGAGGGAGAATCATTTAAGTTGATATCAGGAGATAGTGAGATGATTAAAAATGAGAGATAGAAGAAATATTTAAAACATTCTAAATATTTTTTATAAAAAAAAATCTGTATAGTTGACTCCAAATGATTGAAATCTTATGGTTTTGTTGTTATATCAAAAGCATGACCTACGTATGTATATCCAAGTATAGGTCGGTATATGTTACATGCAATCTTACCTAAGAAAAGAGAGTGAGAAGATGACGTATCTAATCGGCATTATTTCTATCTACTAAAGGACCCGAATCCAAATCGAAATAAACCATACAGAAATAGACGCAAACACAGTTCTTTAAATCCCGTATCGATTTAATTAAACTATCAATATATTCTCCAGGTGAAAGAATATATACTTTACGTGACTCGTGATGGCCCACACGATTCTTTCCAATCACGATAAGACATAGAAAGCGGAATAAATGGATGTGGAAACCGTCGCTGTTATCTGAACAGAGACATACTGGTCCGCATCCTCCGTTTTCTTCTTTTGGTTCACACATTGTACAGTACTTCGTTTCAGTCTTTCATGTTCCAAGAAAAGTGAAGAGATGAATTTATGGATAGTGAGAAGAAGGAGAGAGAGATGAGGACTTACAGTGATAAAGAGGTCGAAACGGATGAGAGCGTATGTAGTCCAACACACACCATTGAGGAAGGAAGCAAGCGACAGGGAGAGAGGCATGAACTCCACGCTCTTCGTCTTGATCACCTGTTGCTGCACCCACTCAAAACACATGAATGATTCAGTCTTTGACTTGGTAGAGTGGCTGCCCTACGAGGCATCCGAGAGGAGAGGCATGCAACTGCAGGTGGTGACATTGCACGAGAAGCCAAGCCTACCATGACGGACAAGGGCGCAGCGTACATCACGGTCCCAAAAACGACACACAGCACTCCAACGATCAACGAGCGCCGCTGGTATCCGTGGACGAGCGTAAGGTCGACGGCAGCCACTGCACCCACGAGAAGGATCTCCGCCAGCAGCACCGAGAACACGCGCAGCTTCCGGGCTCCGTCGGAGCACCGCAGGAAGATGAGGACGTAGACGAGCTCGATGACGAGGCCGGAGCCGTTGATGGTGAGGATTAAGGTGCTGTGTGGGTGCACCATGGGCAGGCCGTACAGTATCCAAAACAAGCAGTTGAGGAGGGTGGCGAGGTAGGGGGTGGCGTGGAACTGCTCCACGCTCCCACTTCTCCATATCCTGTGAAACGTTGGGCTGACAACAAGAGATGGAGTCAAGTCAATTAGCAGTCACAGGAATCAGCTTACGAGACTACCATTTGCATGCTTACGCTGGCGACAAGAACAGCACCAGAGCGGTTCCATTTCCTGCATCCAAAGAGCAAAACAACATCACCATTTGACTCGGTCTCGCCGACCCACACATCTTTAAGCTTACTCTCATACAAACACACAGTGGATGAAGTCCACCAACCTATGATCCCAACAACTGTGCGAAAGGTATCCGCTGAAACCACCATCTTGGGCAGAAGAGCACTTCGCAGAACCCTTGCCTTGGCCTCTTGTATATGTTGCTCATACCCAACTTCGGAACGTGTTATTTATAGACGACGGAAGACGGTTCTGTGCAGTTCGTTAAAGGTCCTGTATGAATTAATTATTGGCCTCTCTCTGTGTGTGCGCGTGAGAGAGAGAGAGAGAGAAGTCTACGTTGTTTTTTGTGTTGTGTCGAGGTTTGTCAACTTACCCTTTGACTCCGCAGAAAACATTTCCAGTAATCATTCATTCACCTCCTCAATGGACTTTGGAATCGCTTTATGACTCCATTATTAATGTGCCGATAGATCATGGAAACATATAAGATATGGCAGCAATGAGTATTCCGAGATCTAGCTACTAAGGGCTTCTCTAGTTTGGTGCTGCCATATGTTCATCAGCAAGATACATCTTGAATCTTGCAAACTTGTCTGTCTTGCTGATGCTTGAGTTCTACCAAAACTCTTAGTTCTCCTCCAATATTTTGAGGGGCTTATGTGACTTACCATAACTCAAAAAAGTAGGTATATCTTCATCACATCTGTTTTGCTGCACTACATCTGAAGGAACTTCCAACATACCAAGAAGTACTTGATGTGATCTCTTGGATGCAAAGAAAGTAGGCATCGGAATATATGCAGTCGAAATCTCCAATGGGTAAACTACCGAATAATTACTGTGTTACAGCTTTAAGCTTAACTTAGCTGATCTCATGTTAACACATGCGAGAGCACAGAATTGTGTGTGCTTTGTGGACGAGTCCGTGACTTTGAGCTCGTCAGGCTTCCGCTAGACTTTCTTTCTGATGATTTCTTTTATGGGTAGAAGCAAGACATCACCATGAAGCAGTGCAACTCTCTCCTGCTATTCCACAAACACATAGATCATGAGGGTGGTGCATGCAGTACGTGGTAGAGATCCTGAGACAGCAGGATATGTTTGTGATGATGGTGCCAAAAGAGGATGGAGTGCAAGCTGCAGGTTGCGATGCATGAATTGCCCATCTACCTTCCCTCGCATCAGTTTGCTTGGTTCACCAGCACATGAATCAACTCCCTGTGCATGGCGAGGCAGAGGAAAAGTGCTGCCATTTGGCACATTTCCGAGTGGAAATGATCAGCTTCTCTTTGTGGGCACCTGCATAAAGCAATCCCAATGATGATGACAAGACCTCAGTGGGAGGATGGCCAAAAATGTTTTGACAAATTCTAATCGAAAATACGCAGCATTAGTCACACAATTTGCTACTACATCATGTGAGCTAAGCAGCATCCTACATTAAAGAAGAAGAAGAAGAATCCGTAGGCCGAAATAGAAAAGGTGGCAATTAGAGAGAAGGATGCCAAGGCTTTAACTTGTTTAATTACATGTGTGATTAATCCCATATGCATATGCTTTGGTAGTGCTCTCTCATTTTCCAAGGTGAATGAATGTGAAGTGGGGTTAGAGGAGAAGGATGACATGTGTAGGTAGGTCGTTAGTGGTTGATGTCCACTACAATATTCTCACTTACGTTCTCATCACTATCTAAGTTGGAGACATGTGTAATTCGCACCACAATTCCTTATTTTATGAAGAAAAATTATCCACCATAAATATTCTCGTGATTTGGTTTGTCAGTGCAATTAATTAATTAAAGTTGTTTTTTTCTTGGCTGATCCAATAGATTCCTTAGTCGGCAGCTGTGAGTGTGTTAGAGAGAGAAAATAAAGAAGATTAACTCTCGTTAAAATGTGATAAGGAAAATATTCGTTCCGAGTTTGATACGTGATATTAACATCGAAAAGACCAAGTTGATAAATTCATTCGACCTCAATCTTCATACAAATTAATTCAAGGATATGTATCCGAATTCACACTAACCCTCGAGCAAACGCTCAAACTTCTCGTCGAGCAATATCATTTCTCTTATCCTAAACATAATTCTTGATCGTACAAGCATCGATCGAGACAAATATCTAAGATGTAATTTTTTTTCTTTCTTTTATTAGTACAAACATAAAGAATAAATAAAAATATTATAATACTAATAAAATATAAAAAATATATATATATAATTTGTGTCTCTCCTTGCTATCATTGGAGAAAAGCTTTGAACATAGTGCTTTAGGCATGGTTGTTCTCCGACTCATGGCATCTTAAGTGTTCTTGGAGTGTTGCGTTGTCCGTCAAGACAAGCGATTGATTGATTGATTGATTGCGTGTGTCGTGTGGTTGCCATGTTCAAACCTCTCCGTCATTGAAAAGTTGGGAATGCGAACCAATTCGTGTCATCATATATATGAAATATGGCTCGAGCAATAGTGTTGTATAGTATTTGAGGTTGGTGATGGCAACGAGTGATGCAAAGACAAGCAAAAAGGAATGTTATTCCAATTAGTCACGATCAATTATAAGAATCTAATCTTGTCATTAGATTTTGCCATTAACTAAATCAAAAAAATAGATATATTTCTTAGGTTTCCTTCGTCTTCTCATCCCCGTATCGAACTCTAATAATTTGTCGACTCCAATCATGATAGTTTTGTTTGAGCTTAGGTCGATAATAATATTATGTAATTCAAGCTTAGGTGCTTAGGTTTTATGACAAATAAGACAAATATAACAATATAATTATTTGAGATATCGAGTATATGAAACTTGCTAAGGTTCAATATAGATTCATAGATTGAGTCAGTTTCTAAGTTGGATTTTCTAGTTCCCTTGTGTATCAAACCTATTTTTATTTACTATGATATATTAAACTCACTCGATAAAAAAATAAGGTTTCATAATCTCATCTAAAAAATTTGAAAATTTAAAAATTAATTTCATTATGTATTAGATTCACTTATGAGAGGTTAATATTTTTTAATTTTATATATCAGACTCACTTAATCGAGGATTTTACAATAAATTAACGGAGTAGTTAAATTACTTATCGCTTCGAATGTTTGTAATTTTATATGATAAATTTTGAAAATATCAACTAGAAAAAGATATTTCACATATTAAAACTATTCCAACTTGATCATATTCATAACAACTTAAATTTTTTGGAATTATTGGTCACGCAATTTAAAATCTTTATTAAGAATAGTTTATCTTTAAAGAAAGAAAATTTGACGTATGGATTTGTTTGGAGGCCAACGCATACTTTTAGTGAATTTTTGCACGTGCTATGTATGTGGAGGGTGACACAAAAACAAAAGGAAAAGTAGGAATCATTGTTAGGGTGGGGAAAGAAAAGCCATATTCCATCATCATTGGATTCAATGGTCCTGATTTGATTCGAGTATAAAGCACCTCAACCTTTATCCTTAGGCACTCACATTGTATATAATAATAATAATAATAATAATAATAATAATAATAATAATAACAATAATAATAATAATAATAATAATAATAATAGTCGTATAGCTAAGAGAAGATATCGGGGAATAAATTAGACGGAATGAGCTTCCTTTTTTTATGTTTATCAGAAAAAGAATATTACATTTTAAGTCTTTAGATGGCTAAGATCTTTGACGATGTGGCCTTTGATGTGCTTATTGCGGATCACTAAACACTTAGTTCTCTTACTTATTGGACTCAAACTCATTTGATTTAAATTCTTAATATATTTTGGATCATATTGTTTGGACATCGAGTTGTTTAAACTAGATATTGATAAATCGTAGTATATTAGATATGATTAAGGTGAAATTTACTTTGTTACACAAAATAATGCTTTAAGATATTTGTTAATAAATATTCATGAGATAGAGATTGAAAGAGAAGTAAGAAAATAATCGCATGTCGGGACAAATAAAAAGGGTCGAGTTATATATACTAGATTGACTAACAACTTAATAGGCTTATGTTTCTGAGTTTAAACTCATACCTAAACTGATGTGTGTTCATATTATCCAATTTGACACATCATTATTTGGTTATTAACATGATATCAAAGCTAAGATTTGTGAAATAAAAGTAAAAGAGTCAAAAAAAAAAAAAGCTTACAATCTAATAAGTTTAAGTTTTTTTGTTAAATTGATGACTTATTATTTTATTTCTAATATTCACAAAATAAATTTCATCTCTTTTGAACATATATAGAGATATATGACTATCTCAAAATGACAGAGTTTGTATTTAGCGAGTAGGATATAACTATCAATTTAGTTATCATGATCTTTTTTTTTCCTTTTTTTTTGGAAAGAAAACTTTCATAATGATTTTCCTAATCTATTATTTTATAAAAACTAAAAATATTTATTTATTTTTTTTAAATATTTAGTAGGGGGAATCGAAATATATGATCATCACATAACAAAACTAAGCACAAAATTAAGAATATTGCAAAAAGGAGGAAAATTTTCATAATGATTTTTGTAATCTTTTATCCTCATGGAGGAGAAATATAAATCTTATTTTCTCAAAAAAAATATTTATTTTATAGGGGGAAATCGAAATATGTGGCCAAGATGGATCATATAAAGTATCAGCGAACATGGTTTTGGGGCATTTCCAAATCTAATCACTTGATGGACCAAACGAGTACAGTGATCTAATGGCCCAACCAATCGAAATCCAATCAAAGAGTGGCCACCCCATCATGGAGCTTCAATGACGTCATGTCTCGCATTTGAAGTTACCTTGTCGGATGCACTCCCTGGTTCGATTACTGGATCCGAATCCAACTCACAGACTTTTCACAATGTTTATAGGTGTGTTCGCGCATCTCTTCTGTGTTCCACGACATGCGCATTGCTTAGAGGATTATGCTCTTTCGTTCAACGAATCCGTTCTCAGGATCCGATAAGCAGAGACACGCGTTCATTTGGCCTCTCTCTCTCTCATTTCATTGTAGCAATTTCTTTCTCATAGTTCGTTGTAATGGTTTCTCTCTCTTAGTTTATGATAATGACCTCTCTCTCTCTCTCTCTCATAGATCGATTTGCTTGTCTCCGGTGTCCTAGAATCCATTTGCATCCCTTATCCTGGCAATCAAGGATGCTGTCATCTTCTACTCCGTCGACAGAGCATTCTTCTTGCGCAG